CATAGCCCCCCCTGCTGGGCACCCCCCGTCCCCCAGCACAGCTCCCCTGCCCCACCGCCCTGCAGCACAGCACCCGTGGTGCTGCCCTGGGCACTGGTGCCGGAGCTGCCTGCCAAGGAGAAGCCCCAGGCTGAGCCCCCCCAGCAGCAAGGGACTTGTCTAGGCCCTGGGCACCCCGGCTGAGCCCCTGGTTTCCCCCCACTAGAGCCGCCTGTGCGGGTCATCAGCTCCAACAAGGCGGCGATTCACGTGTATGCGGCGTTGGAGCGCGTGGAGCTGGTGTGCGAGCTGTCCCGCCCCGACGCCCCAGTGCAGTGGTACAAGGACGGGGTGGAGGTGGAGGAGAGTGAGCGGCTTATGCTGCAGCGCTCGGGGCCCTGCTGCCGGCTCGTCCTGCCCTCGGCCCAGCCGCCGGACACGGGCGAGTACGTGTGTGACGCGGGCGGTGACTCCGTCTTCTACAATGTCTCCGTCGCAGGTCAGTGTATCCCGGTGCAGGCACCCCATGTTTGCTTTTCGTTGTGCTGGGGATTTGGGGGGCCTGTTACATTCTTCTTGCCACTTCTGCGGCTCCTTTCCCCTCCTGCCTGCCTTGTTCTGTCTGCCTGGAAACGTTTCTGTCTGTCTCGCTCGCTCCTGGCCTGGGCTTTCCCTCGTGCCCTTTCTGTTCTGCTCTGGCTTCTACCGCAGCACGTCCTCTGATGCCCCCAGGCCCCGCTTGCTCTTGTGGCCTCCTCCACCATCTGTGCCATTGAGGCTTATTCATGGCCATCCTGCAGGTGCCCAAAGGGTCATGATCCCACATAGACAACCCTGGCTGGTGCTAGTTAGGACCCAGTGCTGCCGGAAGGAGCTGAGCCAGCAGCAGTGAGAGACGGGGACACTGTGGCATGAGGAGTGGAAAAGAGAACTTAGCAGTACTGGCACCAGGTGGAGGTAGCTGATAGAGGAAGCTAAAGGATCGTGCCAGCGTTTAGGGAGGGTAAAAGAGACAGGGCAGAGAGCCATAGACCTGCTCGCCCGGTGCTGACCCTGACACCGCAGGAGAGCATTGTTTGGACACTAGGAATGAGCTAGAGACTGGCAGCACGGTCGGTGCCGGCTGGCCTGGGTCATTGCCGCACGGGTAGTTGCCTGGGTCATTGCCATCTGTCTCCCAAGGGCAAGGGCCTTTGGTGATGTGTTTATTGAGCCAACTGTACAGTGGGGAAAGGTGGTAGACGGGCTCTGGGCACACGGTTCCTGCGCGTGGGGGCAAGGGGCCTGGCTGCTCCTTTAGGGCTGGGAGCCTGGGTCCGACAGGCAGAAAACAATGGGGCCACGAGGGAGGCGGGAGATGTGGGGGCCAGGACAGCCACAGGGCCCCTGGGAGGGGGATGGGATCCTGAGCAGGAGCAGGGTCCGGCTGCCGCCGTGTGCGGCACGGCTGGGAGCACAGGGCTTGTTGCAGAGGCCATGAGGTCAGAAGAGCATTGGTGCCCTGGTGAGAGTGATTGAAGGGCTGGAGAAAAGATGTTGGAAACACAAGGAGCTCGGTCTGGTCATAGGATCCCAGCACCATGGGGTTGACAGGGAGCTGCGGGGTCACATCCAGCCCGAGGCAGGATCAGCCCTGTCCAAACCCACCCAGACAAACCCCGTGTGTGACCTCGGAGCTGCATGACAACATTGCCCCTGACACAGCCTGGGGCATCGCCCCCGTCCCTGTCCTCGGGATACAGGGGGACCGCAGCAGCCAACATCCTGCTGCTGCCAGGGGGGTTGGTGGGCGCTGGAGAAGGCCCAGGCCGTGCCCCCACTGCAGAGGGAGGGGAAACCACCTCTGGCTGGGCCAGGCTGAGCAGGGGGCAAATCCCTGCCTGCCCCCCAAGGCAGCAGGAGCAGGGGGCAAGGGCCTGTAGCCAGGACCCCGCGGGGCTGAATCCCAGCAAGAGCATTGGCACAGCCCCAGCCTGGGATGCAGGCAGCAGCCAGTGCTTTTGGGGGGGCTTCACCCCCCTGCAGCAAGGCGTGGTGGGGAATTCCCTCCCAGCCCCGTGCAGCGCCTACAAAGCCCAGAGGCCTGGGCAGTGCCCGGAGCAGAGCAGCCCAGGGCAGAGCTGGGAGTGACTCGAGCCCTGTTGCTTGGGGGAGCCCTGGCTGGGAGCAGAGGGATGCGGGGCAGGGGGCAAAGCGATCACGGGATCCTGGGCTGGTGCCGAAGCCTCGGTCTCAGTGCAGGCCACAGGCTTGTACAGGGCAAGTGGCTGCGGCTGAGGCTGGATGGAGTCTGGGGTGTGAGGTGCTGGTCACCCGCACTTCTCTGCATGAGTCCAGCTCGGGCACTGGGCCTGGACCTGAGTTCATGCAGAAGCAGCTGAGACCATCACTGCAGTGAGCAGTGAATGCGAGGCCTGAACAAGGGCCCCCTTTACTTCCTGCTCCAAACCCTGGTGCCAGCCAGTCACCCGGCGATGACCCAAATGCTGTGCCATGTAGTGGGGATGTGCTAGAGCTTGTAGGGCAGTGTACGACACTCCCTCTGAGCCCCACGTCCCCCGCCAGAGCCTCCTGTGAGGGTCATCAGCTCCAACGAGGCGGAAGCACATGCGTACGTGGCATCAGAGCGCGTGGAGCTGGTGTGTGAGCTGTCCCGCCCCGACGCCCCGGTGCAGTGGTACAAGGATGGCGTGGAGATGGAGGAGAGTGAGCGGCTCGTGCTGCACCATGAGGGACCCTGCTGCCGGCTCGTCCTGCCCTCGGCCCAGCTGCCGGACACGGGCCAGTACGTGTGCGATGCAGGCGGCGACTCCGTCTTCTACAATGTCACCGTTGCAGGTCAGTGCCCCGCGCCAGTCCTGGGTCCATGCCATGCTGCCCCCCCTGGTATCCCTGGGCCGAGCTGCTGCCGTCCTGGTCCCTCATGTCCCTTCAGCTGCCCCTTGGGGCATCCGGATGAACCCCCTGGGGGCATTGGCACCGCGCTCATGTGTATGAGCTCCTGTCCTGCAGGCCCGGGGCCCTGGGGCAGCCAGGGCATGATGCCCCTTGCTCCATCCCTCTTGCCCCTGCCGCACAGCACCCCCTGCTAGGCACCCCCCCATAGAACAGCGCCCCCTGCTGGGCACCCCCTGCCCTGCAGCATAGGGTCTCTGCTCTGGCACCCTGTGGCACAGTGCCCGAGGCACTGCCCTGGGCATCGCTGCCAGTGCTGCCTGCCAGGAGAGTCCCCAGGCTAAGCCCCCCCCAGCAGCAAGGGACTTGGCCCGGCCCCGAGCACCCTGGCTGAGCCCCTGGTTTTTCCCTGCTAGAGCCGCCCGTGCGGGTCGTCGGCTCCAACAAGGCGGCGACTCACGTGTATGCGGCGTTGGAGCGCGTGGAGCTGGTGTGCGAGCTGTCCCGCCCTGACGCCCCGGTGCAGTGGTACAAGGACGGGGTGGAGGTGGAAGAGAGCGAGAGGCTTGTGCTTCAGCATGAGGGACCCTGCTTCCGGCTCGTTCTGCCCTCGGCCCAGCCGCCGGACACGGGCGAGTACGTGTGCGACGCAGGCGATGACTCCGTCTTCTACAGAGTCACCGTTGCAGGTCGGTGCCCCCCACACTCCTCCGTCCCCTTGCCCTCCACCCCTGCTCCTGCTCTGTCCAGCCTTCCTCTGGCCTGGGGCTGGCGCCTGTCCCGGCTCCTCCTGCCCTCCCATCTGCCATGGTGCCGGCACTGGGGTTGTCTGGGATGGCAGCATCCTTCCCCCAGCACCCGCCTCTCCCTGCCCTGCTTTGATGCCCCAGCCTGGTTCTCTGGCCCTCCCTGCTGATGCTCCAGCAGCCCGCAGGGTCCTGGCTATGGGTCTTGCTTTTCCTCCCGCCAAGGTGGGTCAGATGCGTCTGGGCTCAGGAAGGAAAATGCAATGGTGAGACCGGCACTGACAGCCGGTTTTGCCTTCCCCTGCAGCAGGCAGGTCCTGTGCAAGGATGCCTTGAGCAGTGAGGGGTCAGCTGCCCCCCATCCCCAGCTCCTGCCTGCCTCTCAAAGCTGCCCCAACGCAGCTCTGCTGCTCCTTGCCCTGGAGCTGTCTGGAGCCGGGACAGTCCAGCCCACCCCAGTGGAGACCTCCCACTCCACATGACGTGACGTGGGCTCCTGGTCCCTCCAGCCCCGCAGGTGCGCATTGCCCCGGTGCCTGAGGCCCAGAGTGTGCGGACGGTCCCAGTGGGGCTGCCCCTGCTCCTGGAGTGCGAGGTCTCCCAACCCGATGCCCCTGTGCGCTGGCTCAAGGATGGGGAAGCCGTGCCCGTGGGCGATGTCGTCACTGTCCAGGCGGACGGCTGTGCAAGGAGGCTACTCATCAGCTCTGCCTGCCTCTCACACTCCGGGATGTACACATGTGATGCCGGTGACAACGCAGTGACCTTCACAGTGACTGTGACTGGTGAGCGGGGCTGGAGGCTGGGTCCCTCCAGGGGGTCAAGAGGGGTCCCCAGCAGTGCTGATGGGGCACCGGGAAGCTTGATTGCAGCGTGCCCAGATGTTTGTGTGCAGTGGAGATGCTGCAGTCTTGACCTGGAGCCCAGCCCTTCCCAGGGAGCTCCGGGAACATCTTGGGAGCCTGCACTGGCTCCCAGCCTTGCTGGCCTTGGTTCACTGGGCAACAGGCATGGCACGGAGGGGCTGCCGGCAACCCCGGCAGGGGCTGGGCTTGGAACTGGACCTACCCCATCCTCCATCTTGCTTGGAGGCTGCCTGGGTCCCACCAACCTGGGGGATGCTGACTCTGACAGAGCCAGTCCTTAACCCCTCCTTACCCTGCTGGAGAATCGGCCGTGAACCAGGGAGGCCTGGACAGGGTGCACCAGAGGGATGGACAGCAGGTAGCACCCAAGATGCTGCAAATGCAATGTGCCCTGCAGCTCCCCCAGGCCAGGGCGAGCCATGCCTGTGCACAGCAGATGTGGCAGGTCCTGGCTCTTGTCCCTCCTGGGCCGCCCCTCTCCCCCTTCCGAGCTGCCCTGTGTTGGGGAAGGGTGGCATGGCCCAGCCCCAGGTGCCCCAGCTGCACCCTGTATCCCCTGCCAGAGCCGCCCGTGCGGGTCGTCAGCTCCAACGAGGTGGCAGCACACGTGTATGCAGCATCGGAGCGTGTGGAGCTGGTGTGCGAGCTGTCCCGCCCCGACGCCCTGGTGCAGTGGTACAAGGATGGTGTGGAGGTAGAAGAGAGCGAGCGGCTCGTGCTGCAGCGCTCGGGGCCCTGCTGCCAGCTTGTCCTGCCCTCGGCCCAGCCACTGGACGCGGGCGAGTACGTGTGCGACGTGGGCGGCGACTCCGTCTTTTACAGCGTCACTGTTGCAGGTGCACGAAGCTCCCACGCAGCTCCTTCAGTCGGGGTGAGGGTGGGGGGGCCCGGGGCCCTGTCCTTGGCCTACCCAGCTGGTAGGTCCACAACACCACTCTGTGGGCTCTTCCCGCAGTGCTCTGGGAGTGCCGGCTGCTTGCGGTTCTGGTCATTTGTGGCTCCACCTTTGCTGGAGATTGGATTGAGTTGGGCTGGGCTCAGCCCCATAGGTTGCGTGGTCACTTGTTGGGGTCTCCCTTCATTGCCCAGCCTGCTCTGCAGCCATCTCTGCTGCTGGCACCTGGGCTGCCCAGAAGTCACCGCACCATCAGCCAGGTCCTGGCAATCACTGGCCTCCATTAGACCACCGTGCCCAGGGGAACCGGGCTCCTGGTGGGCAAGGGGCTGGGGAGCTCCAGGGTGAGCCGGGGGCACTCCAGGACCCATAGGAGCCAGTGGGGATGGGTCTCTGTGGGGCAGGGCGTGGGGTGGTGCAGGGTCCCGACCGCATGCAGGCCTGCCCATGCCCCTGTCCCTCTATGTGCCCAGCAGAGCCGCGGGTGAGGATCCTGCGCCCGCAGGAGCGTGTGCTGGAGCTGCGGGTGCTGGTGCTGGAGCGCGTGGAGCTGGCATGTGAGCTGTCTGTGGCGGATGCCCCGGTGCGCTGGTTCAAGGATGGGCTGGAGGTGGATGAGACGGACGACCTGCTGCTGATGGCCGAGGGCACCCGGCGCTGCCTGGTCCTCCCGCGGGCTGGCACCGAGGATGCCGGCGAGTACATTTGCGAGACGCGGGATGAGTCTGTCTCCTTTGACGTCAGGGTGTCTGGTAAGCACATGGCAGGGGCTTGCACAGGGAAGGGTGGTGCTGCCAGGGTCTCCAGCTGCAGGGTCTTTGCCGGTCACCTGGCCAGGGCTCCTTGCACTGGGTATGGCCAGGCTCCCCAGCTATCTCACGACGGTGTTCAGAGGCTTGCCTGCCATTTAGCAGCTGTAGGAGGTACAAAATAAACAGTATGGCCCCTGAGCCACCCTGGCTGCTGACTGTGGTCCCAAGCACCCGTGCCTGTCCTGGCCGAGCCCTCAGGGCCCCGTCCCAACCCCAGCAACCCAGACCCCCACTGTAGCACTTGCCTTGGCTCCACATCAGCAACCCCTGAAGCTATGAGGTCTGGTACGAGCTCGTGGCTCGGGGTCTTGCTGTGTTCCCGGGCTGGGAGCCCTGAGCCAGTTTCTGGAGATGAGGCATTGGGTTGTGTGCAGGCCCCGAGCCTTGCAGCCTGGCGGAGCTGTTTTCCTTGGCTGATGGTTGCGGGGCTGCATTCAGGGAGGGGCGGCCATGGCTTGGGGGCACATTGGTGCTCAGTGACATGGGACTGCTAGCGTGAGCAACCTGTGTCACAGACAGACACATGTGTGCCATGCTTCTTGGGCTCCAACAGGAGCTCAATGCCTCAACCCCCTGGGTCCACACAGCTCCGAGCCCCGGGCGTTCCCAGGTTGGGGTGTTCTGGGCTGGTCGGGAGATGCGTGTTCCCATCCAAATGGCTCCTCCGGGCCGGGCGGCCAGAGCGGGATTGTGGGGCAGCCCTGCTGTCCCTGTGCCCCTGACCTTGCACTGTTCTGGGCTCCCCTTCCAGAGCCCCCGGTGAGAATCCTGAAACCATGGAAAGCCCCCCCAACCCTGCAGGCCTGCACGGGGGAGACGGTGACACTGGCCTGTGAGCTCTCACGCGTGAGTGCATCTGTGCAGTGGGCCAAGGACGGTGCCTGGCTGGAGGCTGGTGGGAGCCTCATCCTGGAGGAGGAGGGGGCACACCAGCGACTGGTCATCCCCGCGGCCGGCCCAGAGCACTCTGGGAAGTATGTCTGCAACGTGGGCAACGATGCCAGGACCTTCACCGTGCAGGTGTCAGGTGAGTTGGACATCAGGTGCCCAGGTCTAGCCTGGAGTGAGGGGTGCTGTGCCCATGACCTCCCTTCCCCGGGCATCCAGGCTGTGACAGCTCAGAGGGGACTGGGGAGGGGGGTGGCCCCAGCTACTGGGTGCGTCACCCAGCACACCGTGGCAGTGCCCTGAGCTGGTTGCTCTTCTCTGCTGCCTCCAGCCCCGCGAGCTCAGGGCTCCTGTTGCTCACCCCCTTCCCCAGCTCCCACCAAGAGCCCTTTCCCTAGCTCCTTCCCACCCAGAGACATTCGGCACAAGAGGTGTCCTGCCCTGGGTCCTCTGCAGAGCGTGAGCCCAGAGCTGGGACCATGCAGCCGGACCCGGGAGAGCACAGCTCAGCCTGGGGATGCTCCAGTAGGAGCATCTATTGCGGGCTCCTAGCTCTCGTCCGCCTGCTACTGTTACTCTCCATGAATCCTGCTCTGCGCTTGCCTGGGCCTCACTGCAGCTGCTTGTCCCTGCCAGACCCGCGGGTGCGGATCCTGGGCCGGGGTGATCTGCAGACCCAACGCCACTGCCGGGCGGGCGAGGACCTGGTGCTGGAGGTGCAGCTCTCACACGCCCATGGGGAGGCCAAGTGGTACAAGGATGGGGAGAAGCTGCAGGACACGGGGCGTGTGCGTGTGGAGGAAGATGGGGCCCGGCGTGCGCTCGTTGTGCTGGGCGTGGAGAGCCGTGACGCGGGCGAGTACCTCTGCGACACCCGCGACGACAGCCTCATCTTCTACGTCACCGTGGAAGGTGAGTCTGGGGTGCGAGAGCCTGGGGGACCCTGGGGCCCACTGCTCCTAGCCCTAAGCCCACCCTTCCCCTGTCCAGAGCCGCCAGTGTCCATCGTGGGGAGTGCGGGGGTGCGGGAGCGGCGCTGCGTGGTGGCTGGTGAGGACCTGATGCTGGCCTGCGAGGTGTCGCGGCCCAACGCTGCGGTGCGTTGGTTGCGGGACGGCCAGGAGCTGGCGCCCGGCGAGCGCGTGCGGGTTGTGGAGAAGGGGTGTCTGCGGCAACTGACCATCCTGAGGGCCCAGCACAGTGATGCCGGCTCCTACATGTGTGACGCCGGCACTGACCAGAGGGTGATGTCTGTGCAGGTGGCAGGTGAGTCGCCGGGGAAGGGGCTGCAGGGTGAGCATTGGCTGCATGGGGCTGGCGGGGGGGAAGCAGCCATGCAGGGCCTGGAGGGGCAGCCCCGGGCACCCGTGGGCTGCAGTGGCCTGTCCCCCACCTTGGTGCTGGCCCTGTGCCGTAGCACTCGGGGTGCTGAGCTGTGGTATGGGGCAGGGCTGCCTTCCCTGCAGGCGCTGCTGGTGCCAGCCCCAGCATGGCCCCGATGCCTGACATGCTGCAGTGCTGCAGGGCTGGGGGGCATGGGCTGGCTGTCTGAGCCCATCCTGCCCGGGGGAGGCAGGGGTGATGGTGGCCCAGGCCCAGGGCGGTGGTGGGGCAGCTGGGTGCTGCAAGGCTGCAGTTGCGCCGGGCCAGGGTGGCCGTGTCAGCGCCAGGTGAGGGATGCCTCTCATAGCTCAGGGCAGCCCTTGGGCTGGTGCTGCGCAGGGGTCAGACCGGCGAGCGCAGGGCCCATCTGTGCAGCCTGGGGGCCTCCCAAATGACAGGCTGCTCTGGCATCCCTGCCGCCCGGCCCTGCACCTGTCGCCTTGTCGCCGGCTCCACGCCAGAGGCCTGGGGAATGTGGCTGCCCCTGTGGCGCCCAGGCTGGGCCCGGTGCAGACACAACCTGGCCCGTGGTGCAGGGAGGGGCCACGGGCTCAGGGCAGGGCAGGGAGACGGGGCGCAGGCGTCCTGCTCCAGGCTGGCCAAGGTCAGGAGCCTCTCCTGTGCCCTGGCACCGTGCTGCAGCAGCTCCTTGGAGCAGGCCATGCCCTCTGCCTCCCCCAGCCGCCGTTTAAATTTAGCTCTGGCCGGCTCCCAGGCGCCGCAGCTCCTGCTGCCCTGCCCAGGGCGGCCTCCTCCCCAGCCTGCCCAGTGCCCCGACAAGGGATGCAGGGGGGCGCATGGGGCAGCAGCCTGCCCGCTCCCGGCTGGCTGGGGGCTGCAGCCTGGCAGCACAGCACAGCAGCGGGGGGGTGGCGGGGACCTGCCAGGGTGCAGGGGCAGGAGAAGCTGCAGCCTCCCTGCCCGGGCTGGGCCTTGGGCAGAGATGGAGGTGCCAGCAGGAGAACCGGGACAGCTCCTGCCCCATCCCGCAGCATCCCTGCTTTTCATAGATTTCATAGACATTCAGGCTGGAGGGGACCTAGGAAGATCTCCGAGCCCAGCCCCCTGCCCCAGGGGCAGGGAGTCAGCTGGGGTCACAGGATCCCAGCAAGATAAACATCCAGTTGACTCTTAAAGGAGTCCAGAGTAGGTGCGGGAATTTTAGAGCGGGGGGGCACAGCTGGGACAGCTCCTGCCCCAGTGCCCACACTGCTGCTGCTGGGAGAGGTGGGGGGCACGGCTGGGAGATCCCCTGGCCCAGGGCTGGGCCACTGCGGGGTGTAGGGCTCACACATCCTGCCGTGCCCCCAGCACCACCCGTTCGCATCCTGAACAAGGAGGAGGCGGCGGTGCCAGTGCAGGCAGTGGAGGGTGACACGGTGACCCTTATGGCCCGGCTCTCCCAGGATGCGGCGCCCGTGCGCTGGCTGCGGGACAGGCGGCCGCTGCGCACCGGGGCCCGGCTCCAGGTGGGCAGCGAGGGGCCG